ATTTTCGATATGGTGGCACTGAAAACATGTTCCGAACATTCATATTCCATCTTTTCAATGAAATATATGAATTAGAAAGCCTCGGTCAGCAAAGTTTTCCGAAAAATCACAAGTATAAACTACCCCTAAATGGGGGTTGATTTGAGTTTTCTCTATGGTGGCACGTTCACTCCATCATGCATGACTCAGTTTTATAGTTTAACGTGTTTAAATATACCTCAAGGTTCTTGTCGGCAGGAATATTTTTTGGTCAGCAAATTATCCACACTCGCATAACATTTCTCCCTCTTTTATTAGAATCCCTCCAGTTAAAATTCGGAATACCATCTAGGGGAATAATCAAACATCATCAAAATTACGAATTGAATATAAGATAATGGTTTCTCCCTTTGTAAACGAACTGTTCCATTATGATTTGTCAACATGAACACAGTTTTCAAATAAGATATATAAAAAAAAAACATTAGGAATGTAAATTAAGGTATGACATTGTCTCTCAAAAACTGCTAGGGAACTCAGCCACCTGCGGTTCATTGAAAAATAGAGTCAACACTGCTCAACTTCACACCAGAATTGAGGTACTAAGATGTAATCATATCATACATAATATATCTTTACTTGAATTCATACTGTGAACTCCAAATCGTAGGATTTATTGCTTTGCAATATCGATGTTTTGAACGGCTCATATTCACACGAATATAATCATCTTCACGATATAGGATAACCTAGAAATAGTAGATTTTTTGTTGAATGATACACCCGGTGAATGAAAGTATTTTTTTGGTGACGATTCTTTCCATCACATCGGAAGAGCTGTAAATCAACACCACCAATTTCAAATGGATATCAAGAAGTTTTGTCGAGCTAGAAAATGCCTTGAAATTGAATTTCTTAGTCCTTGAGAATGCTGGAAAGTTCCAGACAGAAGAAGTAGGAGTACGAAAATATTATTCACATACAGTTCACCTGGAAATGTTAAAGATAAAACCAAACCTCGGTTCTCCTTAAATAGGTGTGAAATACCACCATAATATGCAGCCTAGTTGGTGTTCCGAAATTTTCTCCGAATGTATATGGAGTTACAGTTAATTTAACATATCCATATACCATCATCATTGACAGTAATTTTTGATGAAGCAAATTGAAATTAGAACTTGTCTCTCTTCAAATTCAGTCGAAGGTTTTCCGTTCTTTTAAATAGTCACTTGACTGATATTAACATTTTTATCGAATAATTTTATTTATAACCGACAAACATCATTGATTTGAGCAAGATAATCCGCTAAATTTCCAAAAAACCCCGATCTTGACGTCAACATCAGGGTTGATTCAAAATACAGCACTCAGTTCAGCATGATAATCGAAGTACATAAAGAGCCACTCAACGCAATCCATTTGAAACAATCGCACAATCATAGCCACCCCAATACGTTCGAAGATAACATCGAGTAGGCCAGGCGTGCTTGGGGGCTGATTTGACACATTTAATTTGACCGGTCGTCCCATCGGGGTTGTCCATTACTACGTATCACAGCAGTCTTCTGATTAATAAAATAACAGATGTGATCTTGTTTAATCTCCGCTGGATACAATGTGATAACATAATGAATCGGATAATCTGAATCGATTTTTTTTCTAACCCTCTTCTACATTATTCCATTACATATAACACGTTGTTAATCATTCAACAACACGAAATTTGAATAATGACATTGTGAATGGAAGTAGAACTGCAAGGTTTCTTCAAGAGGAGTAGTTGTCAACAAAGCTTTCTCTTATCTTGAAGGAAAAACCAACTCTTCTCAATCCATGGTTTATATTTTGATAGCCTTCCTATCGAAATAACGTCATACATGGTTGACTGAGAGATGTATAGAAATTTAACTGGTGCGCTTGCTCCCTATTGAAGCCTATGAGAAAAATATATATATTTTTATTTTCAAAACTGAATATTCAATTTGAATACTTGTTTTCATTCATTCCTTGCCAGTGATTTCTGTTGTGAAAGTTTCACATATGACATTATTCATTTGATGAAAACAAAGAAGACAATCCAAGAAAATATCAACGTGATATTAACAACAACCTGTTCTACAATAATGACGATACTGTGCAAAATTGGTGTATGCAAAATTCAATAATGAAGACAACCAATTGCACACTCTATAGTTTTCTCACCAATAGCCCTACTATATTCTTTCTTTCACTCTAAACCAGAAATAACTTGCCACTAATGACCAGACTATGTATTGCATCCCTCAATGCATGTACAGCATGTATCATTGAAATGTCATTGGATGCCACTCCATTACAAACAACACTGCATATTTTGGTCATATACGACGTAATAATTCAATTCAGAGCAGTATATACTATTGCTTGATTCATCTCGATGATAAATGAGAACCAGCAAAAACAGAAAGAAATGCCGAAAAACAATAAGACATATGTAGATAAATTGGCTACCACTTAACCTTGCGGGTATCACGAAATTTATCGTTCTTCTCCAACTTCCAACTCTTAATGGTTAATGTCATCTTGGCTGGTACAATAAAACAAATGATAAATTCTGGTCGGTGCCGGTGGGGGGTAAGGGGATCCCCCGGAAACGGACATGACGCCATGCTGAGTAGAAACAGCGGAAGACTACTCCAAACAATGGCTTGGCGCGCGCTGTTTTTGTGTCATTGCAATTAGAACGACGGAGATTCACAAATACTGTTTTTCCAACTTCTGTTGAGAATGAACCTTTTACTTTTTGCGGTTTATCTGCAAGGCAAATATCATTATCCCAACTTTGGGAGACGATTACTCATATTTTTCTTCGCATTGTTCCTTTCGTCATAATCTCTGAGAGCTTTTTTATTACTTCAGCAATAATGCCATTATCATCTGTAGGTACATTTCTATGACAGACAAATGTACATATTATTTGATTAGATTGAGAAAAATCCATCTCATTAGGTTGGTTATAATAGTGAAAAAATACTTCATACAAATAGACAATAATTGCAAATACTCAGTGTGAATCAAATAAAAACTAGTCAGACTAATAAAGGTTAAGGTCCCTCGTGCTCTCCCAGGACCTGAACTGAACAATTTTAAAATGTATTTTTGAACATTTTGCAATAACCCATTAGACAACTTTTTTGTTAAATGTGTATGTCTGTTCCAAATTTTGTTTGTACCATAATGATATCGTTGATCACTAATTTTTGGACCGTTTTGTAAATACTTGACGAGCAAGTGATCTACACTTTTGAATTTGTTTTTTCATAGATCTATGGTTTTTTGAAATTTTCATAATTAATACTTACTTGCATGTATAGCACTGATGATGGCTTTTCAGCCGAAAGTGCTTTTATAATAAATTTTACACGAAATACAAAATCTCTTCATTCTATTGATCATCAGTTACGTGTATGCAGCTAGTACAGATCTTCACCTCATTATCTAATAGATTTGTTATTCTGGTAGATTTATAAATAAAATAATATTGATAGTCATCACCATTCTAATCCTCGCGAAGATACAAATTCCTCGACATACAGGGTGTAAATTTGAAAACTTTCAATCGAATATCTCGCAAAATAAAAAAGTTAGAAAAACGTTGCTTGGCAAAAATGCTAAAGAGTTAAGGGGAAGTAAACCACCATATTTCAGTGAAGGGATGAGTCACCCTGTCAGCGCAACACACCCCAACTTTGAAATGTAAAATGGCACTACCTCTTTTGTGATACCTCAAATGAACGGTCTCAGTCAGTAGTATTCACCTGTACAAGACTTTTTTTCCACCCACTACAGGGTGTACGAAAAACATTAATTTGAGGGTCTAAATTTGAAAAATTTGAATGCGAATATCTCGCTTAATAAAACAGTTAGGAAAACGCCGTTTGGCACAAATGCTACAGAGTTAGGGGGAACTAGAACCACCATACTTCAAAGGGATGAGTCACCCCGTCGGCGCGACACACTCCACCTTTGAAATGTCAAATGGCACTACCATTTTTGTGATACTTCAAATGAACGGTCTCATCAGTCAGTAGTATTCACCTGTACAAGCCCTTTTTTCCACCCACTACAGGGTGAACGGAAAAAATAAAGTCGAAAAAAATAAAATGCAGAATGCCGATATATTCCAAGAGATGTATTCCAAAATGTTAGAATGGCATTTGAACATCGATTATACTATCGCTTACAACAGAATGGAATGCATTTTGAACATCTGATCAAATAAAATATCCTTTTAACACAATTCATTTTATTTTATTCGACTTTACATTTTTCGTACACCCTGTAGTGGGTGGAAAAAAAGTCTTGTACAGGTGAATACTACTGACTGAGGCATCACAAAAAAGGTAGTGCCATTTGACATTCCAAAGTTGGGGTGTGTCGCGCTGACGGGGTGACTCATCCCTTGACCGAAATATGGTGGTTCTAGTTCCCCTTAACTCTTTAGCATTTTTGCCAAACGGCGTTCTTCTAACTTTCGTAGGCCCGAAACACGTGTGTACGGTAAACTCTTCCTGAGAGGGGTATGTCCAATAATCTTTTTCTAGTTTTATATTATTTCATGCACATCGAAATAAGAAATTCAAACATTGAACTGCCGCTACAATTCCGAGCACAGATCAGCACTATAAGTGCACTTATATAGTGAGTGCACTTAGGTCTATGTGTTGAAAGAGTCAGATAAAAGCAAACCAAAATGTTACTGCTACATCCTTGCATATTCAATAATGGTATTGCCTTCGAAGTTGAATGAGTTTGAATTTTTGTGGAATGACATTTTATTGGCCCAAAATTGTTAAATGTTGAGGTCTAACTTGTAATCGGAGAATGAGAATAAGTGTTGTCCATTCTAATAGAAATTATTATTATTCGTAGGTATAGGTTCCGAATGCCTGAAGACGTATTTTATTCTTGTTGGATATTGACTCCGCCAACTTCGAATACCTCATCCCCAAACTGCGAAGGAATCTGATAACTCAACTCACCTATTTATTGATGAAACACTAGGTACATTATCCTGAGAGCAGATCCCTTCCGCCAGCAGCCGATCTCTGATCTCCCAGGCGAACATGGTGGGGTTCTCCCTCTTGTAGTTGGCGATGGCGTCCACCACTGGAGGGGTTGCTACTTTCGGTTTTGAGCCACCGATCACCCCGGCCTTGAAGCTGCCGGTTTCGTAATACCTAGAACGAAAACTTACATACAATACACTTGGTCAGTGCTGCCAACTCAGCCATCTAATGGCTAGTTCAAGCCATTTTTGAACTCATCTAGCTACTGAAAATTTGGTCTGACTGAAGAACTGCTCTGCAGGTTCTGTCAGGAAGAGGAGGAAACAGCAGTACACATACTTTGCCACTGTAAGGTTCCTTACGCTGGGTGAGGAAGAACCAGAAGCCCAAAGAAACACAGGGTATCTGAAAGCTAGCCTATGGAGTCTCATAGAGAAGGCGGGGCTAGCCGAAGAAAGGTGGATTTATGCGGCATCATTTAACAATTATCAAGTAACATTTATCAATTAACAATTATCAATTAACAAGTGATGAGAATATTGACATTTATGCAAACGAAATTTACAATTGATGGATTGAATCAGGACTATCAAAGCAATAATCTTACAAATTCGTTGTTTACAGTTTACAAAAGGAGTTAAAATTTACACAATTATTCTGTTGATTGCAATTGTTTTATGTTAAAACAAATTTCATAACACCTGTCAGATATCAGGTCTGACATTGGTCTGACCAATCCATGCCTTCTCTACCAGTCGATGAAACCAATCCGCGTTCATCTGCGTACTAGTTGCGCACCAGAAGATAACCTGGTTCATTTGAAGTAAGAAAGTTAAAAGTTGGCCAACTTCTTACTTGTTACTTGTTAATTGATAATTGTTAAATGTCTGCATAAACACCTTCATTGAAAACAGGAAGTTCAACTTTCAATTGCTACTTGTTAAATGATAATTGTTAAATGATGCTGCATAAATCCACCTGAACTCTAATCGATTTTGAGGGCAGACACAATAGATCTGAAAAGGTCGCGGTGTGGAGGCAGATAGCAGGAAAGCCCCATTCTAGATCTAATCTAATCTACTCGAAATTTTATCTAGCCATTTAGCCAATTTTTCTAGCAATTTTTTATTCTGAATTTCTATGGAAATATTTCCATTTTCATAATATTCCCATAGATAGTTCATTATATTCACGATTTCGACAAATTGGGTGCGTTTTTCATTCCAAAATCTTGTCATGCGCATGAATCGAAGAAACATTGACGTTGACGTCCATGACGTAAAATCAAAAATACAGTGCTGTAATTCGGAACACTATTTCATGGTTTTCATCAGTAATCAGCAGCAGTTGATCAGCTGATGAAATTTGAATTATTCCAGTGAATTTACGGAGCTCATGTGGTTCTCTTGGCCGAAATGTCGAATATAGGGTATCATTGAATGCAAAAGATTACGAGGATTTTGAAAATGTGATACTCGATATACAAAGTTTCCCAAGAGTGTTTCAATGTTCCAAATATCATGAGAATAGCTAGAGAAACAAAGAAGAATAGGAGGATGTTCCATGAGTATGTGTCACACGACGGTCGTTAAAGTGATACAAATTGTATTCGATAGTGGTATTGTAGAAATGAGAAAATCGATATTGTCACTCAGTCATTTAACCATCAAAGGGTGGTAAAAGCTAAAGAGTGCTGCCGTGCAGAGATCTGAAGACTCCCAAAAAAAAGATTCAATACCCATCCTATCGATTCTACAAACAGCTCGTTCTCACAAATATGAATAATATAAGTCTCGCTACCAGAAATACACCTCAATGGGTGTTATTATGTCCTCTGCATGTGTTAGCTCGTCACATGTGTTGGTGTGAAGCCGCCGCGCCTTGATCTTAGCGACACATGTAAAATATTAGAGTGATGATCTCCTGTAAATGTGGTTGTTAGCAGTCATACTCGCGAATTCATAAGAGATACTTAATGAAGCCTGCTGCTTTTTAAAATGGGTGTTCTTTAGTACAGTGAACGGGAGCTTAATTTAATTTTCAATAGCCACTGCAAAACTTTGCAGTTTAGATTTCGATCAGATGCCAGAATAAGTCAACTAGAAAATATTCTTTACGATATTAGAAAGAGGTGAGAAAGTGAATTGCCCGTAAATCAAGCAGCATTTTTGTAATTAAATGGAAGAACGTGGGCTCGTAATAATCTCCATACAATTTAATGTCTTTATTTAATAATCAGGTACATATTTCAGTCTTTGAAAATACTATCTTCAGCTCAGCCTAATGAGATGATCATCAATACAATATACGAGCGTTGATGACTGCTATCGAAAATATGCCTATATACTGCGATAGTTACAACTACTATTCATTAGTGTGGAACATGATAATAGAAATTAATTTGTCATATATAAAAGTTTCAATATCTTGAGAAGCGTACAGGTTTTACTGAGGTCATGTTGTGATTTTTTGATAGTTATGTACTTGTTTATCACCAGCTAGAGTATGATCAATGGTTTACCCGATACCCTGTGTAAATAGACATTCCATCACCTCTTGAAGTTAGTAGGATACCGCTTCTTTTTTAATATTATATATTATGAACTCTTTTGATGTTAACTAAGTGGATATCTTGTCATGAACCTGGTTGATTTTATTTGTGGAAATATCAAAGCTTATAATCTGGGTAAATTGTTGGAATTCTCATAATAACATAACTCTATAGTTCAAATCAAGATACAGAATTCCTGTTTAGATTATGTTTACAATCATTAATTTCCTTCCATTTCCAAATGTATTTCCAAAATGATGAACAGTCAGATACAGAGATCATGTGGCGATTGGATAGTGTTAGAGCTATTATTGTGTGATAGGGCTTAGCGAGACCAAGAGTCCAGTCTTGGTCTTGTCTTGGTCTTGATACATTCAAATTTCTAGACTCATTATGATCCACCTATGTGTGACATGTTCATTGGATCTGACTGCATGTTTGATTCATGTTTGCTTTGTTCTACATGAGAAAGATATATCTATTATTTTGTATCCGCTCACTGGTCTATCATTTGATATGGCGAAGCGTACATCTAGAAACACTAATTAGTTTTCTTTTATGGATGAATGAATTGCTCACGTATGTTTGTTATTTCACGATCATTTTCTCCACGACAAATGTAATAATTCAATCGCGGTTGATGAATGTATTCAATTTGTGGCACGAGACAAGTTCTGCTGATTGCCCATGATTCAAAATAAGGAATAATTGTATGCCTTCTAGTCCTCATCTCGTGAAATGACAACTGTTCAATAATAAATTCAGCGGTCTTTACATGGACATTGATTGTAAGTAATGAATGATGCGTATTAATGAATACAACTATGGATACCTTTTATATCAACCGATTATTTTTTCATACCTATTATGTTCGATATTCTGTGCTTTGGAACACTGATTACTAAAAATTTCGTAGAGGAATTACCGAATCTTTAAATAGGTATAGTTTGCCATATTTTCAGAAGTAACAATAAAACAGTATTGATGATTTTCTTTTGAAATGTCACTCTTCTGGCACCGTTCAATTCTCAATGACAATATTATACGATCACGAAAACGTGAAGATATCAGGTAGAAAAACATATCATATTGGTATTTGTATGCCAAGAGTGTCACATAGTTTCCTATTGGAGAATGATTCCCAAGGCAGCTATGCCCCTTCAAATATTTTCTAAACCATTTCATCTTGATATCAAGAAAGAAATTCGAGTTCAGAGTTCTGAAATGTCAATCAAGGGCTTATCATACTGATAGGGTTGATAGTAATAATAACAAACCCATATTCTTTAAGGTATTTTTTTTCACATTCTGACTATAGAATATGATATCTCAGATTGTTTAAGTAAATATAAACATACTACATGTTCAAATTCATAAAGCCAGTAGTTTTCGAGAAAATCGGAATTTTTCACATTGATGTATCGGCACCTAAAAGGAGGTGTTTTCTCAATTCTCATGTCAATGTTGAGCTAAAATGTTTGAAATGTTCATCAAAGGCGTATCATACTGAAGTGGTTAGTGGTAAAAACAACCCAACGTATGGTGAATCAAAATAAATGTATCTATATACTGAACAGGTAGAAATCAATATAAATTGAATGGATCAAATTTTGATGGTCTTTGAAAACAATATCGATTTCAATAATCTGCAAAATACGATATCTCTAATGCATCCCTGCCAAATAATATGGTGTCCCCAGGGTTTTTGCGAACCCCTTTATGACATCATCATTCCAGTTAATATAGAGTAACTGAATTATTACCAAAATTTGATTCAGTTATATGTGTGGGTTGAGCGTGACGAATTTATGTTTTGCATTAGCCACCCCGCGGACGAATATTACCCTTGATTCGATTATTCCCCACTTATTTCAGTCATATCTATAGGGTTTTCATATTCGATATGACATTCTCCAGCTCTCAGAAGCTCTGACAGCTTAGGGTTTGTGTCCATCTGTATCGACAATAACCTCAAAATATGTTTTATAGGACGATGGAATAATATCAATTGAATACGTAGGTACATTTCAGATATGTGTATCAGCCATATAGTATCTATAATGAAGTTGGACTCAATAAATATTCATAATGAAACAGAAACCAAAATCTCTTAAGATAAATCGAGAAGCGATTTCGGAAATTATTAAAAATACTATTACCTCTTCATTCCTATTTTCGCGCGTGTTCATCATTGCTATCGATGATTGAATATGACTTGAGTAGAATTGAATCTGGAGAATACGGCTCAAAGTACCTATACACCTATACAAGGTGAATCTGGAAGCGGGGATTCTTTTTCAACAGGATATATATATATCTCACCAAAATAAGTTGTTTGGCAAAATATTGCTAATATAAAATATTAAAGATATCGGAGATACGGATATATGTTTACATTTTCATTTTCACAGTTGTATGAATGAAAGAGCTTGGAACTACTAGACCTGCATTTAACTGATACTGAATTCGCGATCGGAAATTTCGGGATTTTTTTCCGAGTTCATTTTGTCGGTATAAATTTGATTGACAGAAAATAAACAATGCTGACAATACAGTGTTTGGCATGTATGATTCGTATCCATGGTTATTCTCAAAGTTTTTCTGTGTGCTAGCCCAATAG